CAGGCCGAGGTCTCAGTTTCTACTGCAGGGATAGATACCAATCAGTCAGATGGATTAGCAGAGCACGTCAGGGATGGAGACAATGATGCGCCAGATGCAAGAAAGTATGAAACTCATGCAGCAAGATGCTGTATGCCAAGCTGAATTCGCCAAACAGCAGGCTGCGGTCATGGCCCAACAGGCAGAGCTAATCACCAGATTGCAACAACAAAGCGGTGCGTCCGCTTCACAACAAGTTCCCCCCCCAGCAGGAGCTCCAGCACCTGGGGAGACGCCAAATGTCCAGGATGATGCGGACATTCCAAGCGGGTCGGCTCCGCCCCCAATTTTACCTCAACTATCCAAAACACCTACCAATCTACCGGACTCTCCCTCCGAGTTCGAGGTTGACCCCACAGCGTTGAAGTTGAGCAAGCTCGAAAAGCTATTCAAGAAATCCCAGGGGGTAAAGTCCATCCCGGGCATTGAGGACGGGTACACCGACGCAGCTGTAACTCTGCCGGACAGGTTCAAGATGCCTCACATCGACCGTTTTGACGGGTCAGGAGATCCCATGGTCCACTTGAGCTTGTTTTCAGATGTTTTGCGCCCGATGGGCTTGACAAGATTACAGAAGCTCTCCCTCTTTGGTAGGACCCTGTCGGGTATTGCAGTCACCTGGTATGCCAAATTGGGAGATTCAGTGGAACAAAGCTGGGAGGAGATGGCCGAGGCCTTCGTCGCATAATATTCATACAATACCCAAATCGAGATTACGACCCGTGATCTTGAGACGATGAGGCAGGAGCTGAAGGAGAGCTTCTCAGAATTCGTGACCCGCTGGGGAGCCAAAGCCTCAATGATGACCATTAGGCCAACGGATAAGGATCAAATACGGATGATTGTGCGCAATCTCCAGCCCAAGCTAATGCAGAAAATGATTGTGATCCCCTTCCCTACCTTTTCAGATTTGCATGAGATGGGAGTACAGATCGAGGACGCTATGAAGCAGGGCCTTTTTGACCAGGAGAAGGAGCAGCCCAGGAGGGCGTTTTCCCGCAGTTCGAATGCGACCACCAGTGGTGATGCAGCTGCGAGATCTTCTGATGTGGGCACGGTGGCTACCACCGTATCAAAAACAGTTACCCCATTCACCGGTGCGTCCGGAAGTAGCTCACGAGGAACCAAATATCCACCCCGAATCAAGAGGGTTTTCACCCCGCTTTATATGCCTTTGTCAAAAGCTCTAGAGGCCTTAATCCGAAAAGGACATCTGAAGCCATTGGAACAACGGCCTTTACCTGATCCTATCCCTGTAAAGCATGATCAGACTAAATACTGCGCCTACCATCAACAAACCGGTCATGACACCGACAGTTGCTTTTGTTTGCGCCATGATGTACAAGATCTGTTTGACAACGGGGTCATTCCCGCGCCAGTCCAGCAAAGTCTATCGGCACTCGATCAGTGAATTTGTGGGGGGGATAATGTGATCTGATCAGAGATTGAACCGGCTGCGGGTGGCACTCGATTTACTCCAGATAGGGGAAGGACAGGCACTGTTTTGAGCATTTGCGATTGCCAGTTTCTGACTTGGGTATTGGGTCAGTCTTGTTGTTTTATTGAGTCTGTCTTTTTGCTTTGAGTCAGTCTCTTTTTGTTTTGGGTCTATCTTGTTGTATCAAGTCAGTCATGTTGTATAGGAGTCAGGTGATTCCAGGGGGTGTTACCTCGGGCATCACCATTTTGTTTTGTGTCTGTCTTTTTCGTTTTGTTTTGAGTCTGTTCCTGCCAGGGAGCCAGTTGTGCCAATAGATTTGAATGAAATAGCAGTGATTTTCACACTCTTGTGTTTGCTTCTGCCGTGTGCTAGTTGTGCCGGGATTTGAATGAAACGGCGGTGCATTCTGCCTGCTCTCTTGTGCCTTGAAATTATTGCATTGACCTAAGTTTTTCAAAGTTTTTGAACACTGCGGTGAAAACGAAGAGGAAGGAATTCCTCGGGATTTGCAAAACTTTGATCATTTGACAGAAAGAGAGGCGTGCTAAGCCCTTAATGAATGAAATCATGCTTGTTAGCGTCAGTACTGAGAAGGACCCTGGCTTGATCCAGACTGGTTTCACACTATCTTCAGCACGAGTGATTTGTCGCTTTCTTAAAAACTTTCAAAAACAAAATGTTTTGCGCGGTCCTGCGAAGACCTGTGTGGAATCACTCTTGAGATTGTGCAGCCTAGGATCGCTCTCAGCCTCGAGACTCAACCCCTTTGCTTCCAAACCTTGAACTTGAATTCAGAAGGTTCCAACGGTCAACTATGATGTAAGGCCTGTGCGACCGAATTTGAAGCAGCCCTCGAACAAGAGGCCAGGAAAGTCAGATCAAAAGATCAGAAGATCAGAAGAAGCTTGCAAAGCTAGAACAGAAAAGAGAGAAAAGAAAAGAAAAGAATTGAAAAAGGAAAGAAGAACAAAGCTTGCAAGGTCGAAAACCCACAACGGGCGCCTTGGCAAAAGTTAGAGCCTAAAAAGGAGAGGTTAAATACCCGAGCGTACCTTAACCCCGAACTACGTAAGGCTTGATTCCCATCTATGGGATACGTAGGCAACTTCATCCTGAAGTCCAGCCGTAAAACACTTCAAATTCGACTGTGTCCATGCAATGGTTCTGGTCATCTTTGTCTTCTCTGTATCTGAGGATTTGGCTGTGTTCGTCACTCAGAGGACTGCATACAATGCGCTGCGGTGCCATCCAAACAAGGGGCAACTTTCCGTTGCCATCCAATGCGCCGCGGTGCCGTTCAAACAAGGGGCAACTTTCCGTTGCCATGCAGTGTCCTCCAAGCAAGGGGCAATTCTCCTTCAGATCTAAGGTTGGGCATCTTAAGAGTAGGTTCCGTGCTCGTTGAGCAGTGGTCGTTTGCGAAAATAGTTTTTGAGAATTTTTACTGAGGTTGACTAATTCTCTCGAAAATTATTCCATTTTTTCCAAAACTGAACCATTTCTTGGACCTAAAACAGGAAAATTTTCAGTGCTCACAGCCTGACTTGCATGATTTTAAATCAGAAAATCGAACAAACATGTTAATCTAACTCTCATGTCGGTCAAAATTGTTTTAGTCGAAAACCAAAACAAAAAAATTTTGTCAAAATAATGAACTAGGGCACAGTTGAGTCAGGCTTCCTGTCTTTTCCCCGTTGCCAATGCCTTTGCCAGAAAAGGGCACCATACTTTCCAAGAAGGACACTCTACCTGCCGGAAAAAGGCACCACTGAAACTGACCGCAACAGGGGAGAAAGCTCTCATATCCTCCAAGCAACGAGGTATCAAGTCAAGTGCGAAGCACGAACTGGAATGGATCAAGATATCCCACTCCCTCATCTGGACAGATCTAACCACGTCCAAACTTCCCGGCAGAGCATCGACAGCCGATGTCAGCTGCAGATTCGCTACACGCTTAGTTGCAGCACAACCCCTCTGTGGGATGAACTCACTAGCTGTGCGCAGAAAAAGAAGAATCTAGCTGAGTGCTAGGGGCAAGAGCCCACAACTTTTTGTTTATCCATCAACCACCCTGGGGAGGGATAAAAATGAGATAATAAAGAATAGAGAGATGTACGATGAGAGAAAAGTGAGAAAAGGGTTTTGTGAGAAAAACCGAGCTTGAAGGTCGAGTGATGTGAGAATCACAAATGAGAAAGGGTAGGAAACAATACCCAGAGAAACAAGCTCCCTGTGCGCGTCTGAGTGTCGTGTCTTTTTGTTTTACCTCGATTCTTGTCTTGAGTCCTTTTTTTTGAGTGTCTGTATTTGTGTTTAGGTTGTTTACCTTTTGTTTTCCGTTGTTGAGTCGTAGTGCGTTGTGTTCAGTTGTAGGCTCAATACCCGGTCGAGAACTCATTTATCAATTTCAAAATAAAATCGTTTTGCGCTCCGAGTGCCGTGCTGTTCTCCACATCTGTGCAAAACAAGATTCATTCTTTCATAAAACCGCAGGGTTCAACCCAGGTCATGTCAGAACAGTAAAACCAGGACCTATTTGAAGCTATATAGATTCCAGACTGCAAAGCAAAAGAAAAGAGGAAATGTCGGGTATCTGAGCTTGTTTCAACTTCAGTAAGTTCCGAGACTACATTCCGTGTGTACCTCTTCAGGTCTTGCCAATGCTCCGAAGTATGAGTGTGCCTCTACCTCAAGCTCATGATCAAGTCTGCTTCAAGCCAAAATGGCAAACAGAAGTGCTCTCCTCGAGTACCGTTTCATGCCAGGGGCATCTTGGCTGTGTTCGCAATGAGTTCCTAGGAGACCAACTGCGACGGTGGAAACTAGAGTTCGAATGGCTGATGCCTAGAACGTAAAGGTTCGGGATTTCCGGGACTAAAGTCTGGTTTAAATAACCAAAGGCGTGTCCTCGGCTTGAAATCTGTATGGAAGCCCCATAGGTTGAGATAGCGTGTATGCACCTCAATTCTGGATACTATAACAATTCTTACATTCAATAACTCCATTCGATTTAGGAGTGCCAAGACAACTTGTCTAAAATAGAATTCCAAGGTCATCAAGAAAAGTGCAAAAGGCCCCATCAATATATTCAGTGCCATTATCACTGTGAAAAATCTTAATTTTAGTGTCAAACTGAGTACTCACCATGAGATGAAATGTTTTGAAACCCAAAAAAAAAAAAAAACTCACTTTTAATAAGAAAGTTTCTTCTATTAACTGGAGAATAAAAAGAACGTTTACGCTTCGCAAATTCACAAGCATAACAGACAAAATGGCTCCAATGACAATATTTTACTAACGAATTGTTTGGAATGACCTAAATAAGTATACTTTTTGACTTTTTACGAAAAGATGTTTATAAAAGTAGAGAAGCGGTGTGACCCAAAAAAGATTAAAAAAATTAAAAAAAAATGTAATACAGTAACAAGCTCTAACCTAGGAAAAAGTTTCTTATGGTTGACCTATAAAGGCAATGTTAGTGATATCAAGATGCACTGTACAAGGGTCATGCATAAACTAACTAGTAACTTCCACACAGCATATGCAAAATATCTAGCCTGGTATGAGACAAATATATCAATATCCCTATGCGTCTCTGATTCCTTTCCTTATCTACAGGCTTCCCTGCACTACTAAGATGATGGTTAGCCCCAATAGAAGAGTCCGCAAGTCTACAGCCAAATATCACTGTCTCTTCTTCTAAGAGGTCAAGAATATACTTCTTTTTGGAAAGGAAAAAGCCTCTATCTGATCTAGCAACCTCAATCCCAAGAAACTATTTCAATGACCCTAAATCTTTAATCTCAAATTCCTGGGCTAGTTATGCTTTGAGATGACACACTTCCTCTTTACTATCTCCTATCACCACTATACCAACATATACAATAAAAATGATAATCTTGTCACCACCGCGCTTGCTGGACACAGTATGATCTGCATGACTTTTCTACATCCAAATCTCAACATAGCCCTAAGAAATCTATCAAACCAGGCTTTAGGTGATTGCTTCAATCCGTAAAATGCCTTATTCAAACCACACACCCTTCTTTTGGTTACCTAACATGAAAAACCCAGTGGAACATCCATATATACCTCTTTTTCCAAATCTCCATGTAAAAAGCATTCTTAACATCTAACTGTTGAAGAGTTCATCCCAGATTAGCAATATAGGAGATAAGCGCACAAATATAGTTAATCTTCGTTATAGGGGGCAAAGGTACCATACGTATCAACAAACCCCTTAACATTAAGTTCTACCTTATACCTTTCATTGTCAATTGTTCCATCTGCGTTATGCTTTACAGTGAATAACCATTTACATTGCACCCATTTCATCCCGTCTGGAAGAGATACTAGCTCCAAGGTGTCATTCTTTTTCAGTGTTGTCATCTCCTCTACCATAGTCTCTTTTCACTTTGGGTCTTTGACAACCTCCTTTCAACTCTGTGGAGCAGTTATAGATGACATGGATGAAACAAAAACACGATATAAAGGAGATAAGGAATCACATTAAACAAAGTTATGGGATGTTGGGTAAATTTCCTAACACCTTTTCTAAGAGCAATAGAAATTATCAGAATTATCAAAATAACAATAGAAGAACCATTACCAGATGGATGAATGGAGGATTCGAAAACTGAAGTTATGGAGCCGGTGATAATAATTGACAAGGTGGCACACAAGTAGCCTAATCTTTCTCATGTTGAGATAGTCTTCAGGTCATCCTTATTCAACCTTCCACCGATATCACTCTCCGTCCCATTCTCAATCTCAATGATCTTATCTTTCTCCCCCTAACTATGAGTGGCATCTTCCTAAAAAAGAGTGGGAACATGAACAAAAGACCACGCTCTTGATTCAACATCTCTTCTTGTTCCTAATAATATACCTCTCTCCTTCTGAAGAGATGTTGGGACAACAAGAAGAATGATTCATGGTACCCAAAGGTAACATCCATTCTAACAAAAACTTTGCAGGTGCACAGGTCATAACATTTGTAACTTTTCTGGGTAGCAGAATACGCAATGAAGACGTATGAAACAACCCTAGAATCTAACTCCCCATAAGGTTGTTTAGAAAAATGCACAAAACAAACACAACTGAAGATTTTTGGAAAAGGAGTAGAAACATAAGGAATTCCAAGAAGAAGCCCGAGAAGAGTCTTATATTGTAGAACACTAGAGGGCATGCAATTAACAAGATAAGTTCCAGTGAAAATTGCGTTGCCCCAAAACGACTTGGGAATTCATAGTAAACAAAGGAGAAAATGCTACTTCAAGAATATAACAATTCTTACATTCAATAACTCCATTCGATAAGAGAGATGAATGCTTTTTCAAGTGCATCTTTCCATCCTCATCTCATTCTAGGCATCCTTAGGTCTAGTTTAAGACATCTTACTGAGGATATAGATGTAGAACACACACCGAGGCAATTAGGGATTAAGTTATTATCTTTCCCAACTGTGTAGCTTAGTGTGTGTTCAATCTGTAACTGTGTAGGGTTGGCTTTCCGAGGACGCGCTCTAGCTTTACTGTAGCCCAGAAACTCTGTGAGTAACAACTGTGTAAAGATATGTTCAAATGATTATCTTCTGAACAATTGAACCATACTGCTTTCTGAACTGATACTGTTAATTGAATGAATGTATGTCCTATATTCTGAATTGTATTGTGGCATCCTTAGCAACTACTGTTTACTGTTACTGTTACAGAGATCTCTGTCGTTTCCCTCGTTGGAACCACTACTGTTACTAACTGATGGCCATCAT